AAAATCTGGTAATCACTGGATGGTGGGAAGGAGGCAAGGATAATTCCACGTCTACAAAGGAGCTTCTAAAAGAAATATGAAAAACACACAAAGAATAATAAGAATGAATTTAGACATGCTGAAAATAAGGAATAGTGAGACACCTAAGTGTTCAGCAAAAGTAGAGAAAAGCTAAAAGTTCAACAAAAAGTTGAACAGGACAGCACAAAGGAGAGAGCCCTGTTACATGCCGGCACAAACCTATTTCTGTGAGGTCAACGGACTAGTTAACTCCACAACACTGGGACCAGTTCCATGCTGTTCCCTGCTATGTCCCCATCACACCTCCCACAGAGCAGGTACTCTACACATCTTTTCTGAATAAAGTATTATGACCCAATTCAAATTTCTCCAGCCTCCTGCGGATATCATGACTCTATCAAATGCCTTGATGAAATCCATACCCGCCATCTTTTATTATATTCTTGCAGGTGCCAAACAAAGAAATGAAGTCAATGTGAGTTACTCACAGTGAACCAATCACAACCTCCCAAAAGTACTGATCATGAACAACCTAGAAGGGTTGTTCAAAGACTCTGTCCTTGATGATGCCCCACTCAATTACTTTAAAATGTTTTATTTCAGGACAAGAAAGTCTTCATTATGATCATTAAGTTATGGCTCAAGTACCCAAACATAGATATTGATTCCCAGAAAGCCTACAGGAAGATCATAAATTAAAAATCAGCATCTGGACACAGTGACTCACACCTGTAATCCCAGTATTTTGGGAGGCCGAGGCAGGCGGATTGCCTGGGCTCAGGAGTTTGAGACTAGCCTGGGCAACATGGTGAAACCCCATCTCTACTAAAATGCAAAAAATTAGCCAGGCATGGCAGCATGCACCTGCAGTCCCAGCTAATAGCTGAGGCAGGAGACTTGCTTGAACCCCAGAGGAAGAGATTGCAGTGAGCTGAGATCACGCCATGCACTCCAGCCTGGGCAACAGAGCGAGACTTCATCTCAAAAAAAAAAAAAAAAAATTAGCCCTGGCAAAGGTATGACTGCAAAGAGCTTATTATGTTCTGCAGAATTTCAGAAATGATTGACAGCATAGGTGAGTTTGGTTTTTGGCTCACCAGTATCCACTGCCCTTGTTCTGGAAATACAACACTCACCCTACTCTCAGCTCGGTGATTTAAGTAGGGCTGCTGAGATGGGTATATGACCTAGTCTAAGTCAATTGGCACTTCTTTTCTTCCTGGTCACAGAGAATGGGTCAGGGATGGGCACATAAGACCCAGGCCTAAACCACTCAGCCTATTCCATATCTCTGGCCATAGTGATTAATTTCAAGATGCCTGCTTGGGTCAAGGGGAGTTAGGAGCAGAACAATAAAAACAAAATTGTTATTTACTGCTGGCAGTAAGGATGCCATGGAACTAGAGCTGCCATGGGCCACCACGTCGCACCAAAAATGAAACTAACATAGATGGAAGCAAAGCCAAAAGGCAGAGATAGATTGGCGCCTAATGCCACTGACCTAGCCAGCCCTTCTGTGAACTTTTCAGTCACTGGGCAAATAAAATCTCATTTTTGCTTAAGTCAGGTTGAATCAGACTATATACTTGCACTGGAAAAATTCCTAGCTAATCTAACTTCCCAAGCAGCCCTTATCTTAAGCACAAACTTGGGAAAGAATCAGACCCTCTGTTTCATTTAGCAATCTATTTCTTTTGCTATTTATGTAATACAAGAATAGCCCATGGGAAATTTTTGCTTAGGAACTTTTAATTGCAGCTGAAGACACAAAGGCTCACTCTTCTAAGCTCTGATAATGTGGGCAAACAAGAAAGATAAACAGACAACAAAGGCAACACCAAGGGCAGTCTGATGCTGATCAGCTTGTCACAAACACAGTGAAGCTAGATTTACGCTTAAGCACTGAAGTTGCCACATTTTAAGTTGCTGATACAAGTAGAAATCTGCGCACAGAGTGTGATATTAGGAGATAACAAACAGCCGAGACTGCCTACTCAAACATTTCCATAAACAACAGCAGTGAGCTTTGACCCCAGACTGCAGTTTTGAGAAACTATTGGTATAATCCCCTACCCCTTTACAGCCCAGATTGCAAATATCTGCAAAGAAAAATGCATGAGGGGAAGAAAGCCACTGTTACCAAAACTACAGCATGAATAAGTACTATGGAGGAGAAAACAAATGAACAATCAGTTGTGGAGGTTTTTTTTGGAGGACTTTTTTCTATTCAGGACCATATTCTAAATTTCTATGTTTTTAATGTTCAGTATCTTTTCATTTGACACTTATATTTGACATATACAAAAGGATGGAATATTCTGTTTACATTCATTTTCTGTCTCACCAGCTACAGTGTGAGTCCCTTCAAATCAGGACTTTATCTTTCCATGCCTAAAATAGTGTCTGACACAAAGCAGATGTGTGAAAATACCTCCTGAAAATTATCAAAATGTTAACCACTTGGCTAGTAATGAGTTTATCTTATAATAAATAATTCTCACTTCCTTGCTTAAAATTAATAAATTACCATTTATTCGACAGCTCTTATGTGCCAAATGACATGCTAAAAACCATATATAGGCTGGGTGCAGTGCCCACGCCAGTAATCCCAGCACTTTGGGAGGCCAAGGTGGGCAGATCATCTGAGGAGTTCAAGACCAGCCTGACCAGCATGGTGAAACTCTGTCTCTAGCAAAAATACAAAATTAGCCAGGGGTCATAGCACAAGCCTATAATCCCAGCTACTCGGGAGGCTGAGGCAGGAGAATAGCTGGAACCCAGGAGGCAGAGGTTACAGTGAGCTGAGATCACGCCATTACACTACAGCCTGGCGACAAAGGGAGGCTCCGTCTCAAAAAAAAAAAAAAAAAAAAAAAACCAGAAAAACCAAAATCAACCCATACATAAATGACTGACTCACTTATTTGGATTGAGGTTATCCTAACCAGGAAGTGCAAATAAGTCAAAAGGAAAAATCATGCTTCTTCCTTAGTCTTTTCACTGCTGTACTTGAATAGAGCTAGAAAAAATGCAGGGAAGTTCAAAGTGACACCCTTTAGGTCAACCCAGGGAAGATGTTCTAGAAGAAGCAGAGCAGTTCTTAAAGGAATAAGCTGCCTCTAGAAGAATTGGTTACTGGAGAAAACCAAGTAAAATTTCAATTAGCAGGCACATTATAGATGATGCAAGCATTGAAGGAGCTGTTAACAGGGTCACCGGGATTGGGACAGTATCCTGGGTTCCATCCTTAAGCCTGCGAGTAGCTTCATTAAGTTTGAACAAAGTCAGTAGCTATAATTTCCTGTTTTTCCTTATCTGTAAGCCTAGACTGCTCTCCAACACTCTGTATCCCTTCTTATTTCATTGCCTTAAAATGCTTGCAATCTTTCCCCTTGAAAATATGGAAAGAGTTTTAAAATGCTGGCATTCATCTGGCCTACTGATGCAGGACATGACGGAGGTAGATCTGAATGTATTTTTGGTGCCTAAACATCTAGCAAAGCCCAAGATTGGATAACACAGGGAAAGTGAAACTAGCAATGTACATAATCCCTACTGTCACAAGTCCGTGACCCTCTCCCCTCCCACTCCATCATACTGACTTTAAAGGCCATGGTATTATGTTGGAAGGGGCAGAAACTGAGCACAGACTGCATAAAGTTGTTCTGGGGCTTCTTTGCAGCCATTTAAGTCTTAGTCAAAAATATACATCTCTAAGATGGGTTTCAGGCATTATATTTAAAAAAAAAAAAAAGCCCTTAGCTTGTTTTGCTTTCAGCTCTTTGCCTGTTTCATAATGACAAAATTTCCCAAGCAGCTGTTGGCCAGAGAACAGCATGTATTAAGACCCAGCAGTAGAGAAGGCAAAGTGGGGTTGAGAAACAGAGATACTCAGAGTGGTTGGAATTCAGACTATGAGGTAGGGAGAGAAAGTTGTGAAAATAGAAAGGTAAGCAGGGCCACGATCAGGAAGAACCTTGTTAAGGAGTGTTTACTTCAATCTAAGGGCAACAGTAAGTCACAGAAAGACTTTAAGGAGGGGAAAGAAGCGGCAGATTTGTGTTTTCAAAATCTTGTTTCAATTACTTTTAAATAACCAATAGAGAGGGAAGAGAGGATGAAGACATGGAGAGAAAGAACAGAGAGGAGCCCTTTCCGGGAACACAGGCAGGAGAAGATGTCAGCTTACACTGCAGTAGTAGCAGTGAGTTGGAGAGAAATGGACAGATTCAGGACATATGCAGCAGGTAAAATCATCAGAACTTAGCAATAGACCACATGTGAGGCACAAGAGAAAGAGGGGGGTCAAGGATGACCTGGACATTTCTAGCAGGGTCAGCTGGGTGGGTGGTGGTGCCATCTCCTGAGATAAACACACGGTAGGTAGTCGAGGTTGAGGGGACAAGGACTCAGTTTGGAACATCTCATGTTTGGGATATGCATGTGACATCCAAGTAGAGATGTCCAGAAAGTAGTTTTCAGGTCTAAGCTGGAGATATAACTGCTCAATAGGCCAGGCATGGTGGCTCACGCCTGTAATCCAAGCACTTTGGAGGCCAAGGTGGGCGAATTACCTAAGGTTGGGAGTTCAAAACCAGCCTGACCAACATGGTGAAACCCCGTCTTAAAAACAAACAAACAAACGAAAAAAAAGTGCTCATTAGCATTAACAATAATATGCTCATTAGCAAGCCAACCATAACTGAAACCACAGGAAATAATTATTAAGGGAAATATAATCCAACCCACAAGGTTAGGGTAACAATATGTGAGAAGTCAACTATATTATTATTTTACATTTCACAGTTTTCAAAAGGCATCACATCCTAAACAAGGTAATACAGGTGTCTTGGAACATAGGCGAAATACAAATTAATCCCCACCAGAAAAGTGGCTTCCAGTGACCCACACATGACAGGTGGATCTGAGCTCTAATGACCGGTCAGAATCTAACAATATCCTAACACCATAATACTCACCTGTGGACAAGGCCTCCTCCCGAATGTCACCCTCACCAGGCTGAGGAATATTCCAGGACGTTTTGGGAAGTGAAGAAATCTCCTCTGGTGATTCTATTCTCACCATATCCATGTGACTGCTCTGGAACTGGTACCGAGGGATGAAGCAGATTTTGCCGCGCCGGAAAATGTCCTTGATGATCTCTTCTGTCTCAATTTCATCTTGCATGCTCAGAAAGATGGAAATTCTTTTGGCCTTTTGATACTGACTGTGGGCAATCACCTAAATGGGAAATTATGGCAATTATATTTTCCAAGACTAAATTTAGCAACTCCCCTTAACAGTTCCTCCTTTCTCTCTCAGCCTTCTACAATTTCTTTAAATGTTATAAAGAAAAAAAAAGGGCAGAGTGATACAGCAGGTCAGACAGTGATGCATCCTAAAGGCTTTTAGTTTGGGACCCAGCACTTACCTGCTCCTTTTATCGCTTCCTGGCACACCCACTCTGGTAGGTGTGAAAACTCATTAAAAGGTCACTATGGAGACAAGCTGTCTTTCTAGAGAATTCCAGGCTTGATTCCCACCTACCCATTTCAGTAGTCTTTGGTCATTTCACATGCTTCCCCTACAGTCTGCTTTCTCTCTGAACCTTGGTTCCCATAAGCTCCTCCACTCCTTGGATTGTCAGGCTTCTCTCTCCTCCCAAATTCAACCCATTTAAAGCCCAGTGCAAGCCCTAACTTTTCCTAACTTCTGCAGAACACTTCACTACATTTAGAGTTAATATATAACTTAATAATGATGTACTGTCATGAATGGATCATGAATTGTTTCATGTGCCCTAAATGTGGTATCCCTAACCGGTCCATGCACTGAGCTCTCTGAGGCAGAGACCATGTCTTACAATTCTCTCTTAGCTCTACCAACCCCATCCCATTTCCTAAAATTCATCTGTTCAATTGAATATTAAAATATTCACAATTATGGGGTGGGGGCAGATCCTGATGAAAGAAACCATATTCAGCTGAATCATTTATCAGGCAGGAGAAGGGAACTGAGCTTTGCTCATCATAGAAATGTCAACACTCTCAGGAACTTATCCAGACTCAGAAGTTAGCCCTTAGCCCTCTTTTTCTCTTTTTTCATTTTTTTTTTCTTTTTTCTTTTTAAAGACAGGGTATCCCTCTTTTGCTCAAGCTGGAGTGCAGTGGTGCAATCTGCAACTTCTGTCTCTTGGGCTCAGGTGATCCTCTCAACTCAGCCTCCGGAGTAGCTGGGACCACAGGCACATGCCACCATGTCCGGCTGATTTTTTGTATTTTTTGTGGAGACAGCGTTTCACCATGTAACTCAGGCTGGTCTCGAACTCCTGAGCTCAAGTGATCCACCCACCTGGGCCTCCCAAAGTGCTGGGATTACAGGTGTGAGCCACTATGACTGGCCAGCTCTCTTTTTTTCCTTTCCTTTTCTGTTCTTCCCTGTTCTCCAAACTAAAAAGAAAAGAATACTTTTATTCTTTATAGGACTTCTTAGAACTTTTGTTATTATTATATATTTTTAAGCCATAAAAGTAGCTTATAAGTATGAATGGCAGAAAGATACAGGAACAGAAAGTCAAGTTATTACTAGTAAAAAAGGAAACAGAAATTAAGTAGATAGAGCACATCAAACTAAACCAAGGAAGAAAGTTAACTCTCACACTCTGAAAAGTTACAAAATTGTTTTGAGGCCTGAAACAGGCAAAGAAAGGAAATGTGAAACCCAGACTTGGGCAGGCCTGGGGCTACTGGCATCCAAGTACTATATGAGAAAGTTAGGTATCCTTTTAGCTCTCTTGACAGCAGAATACAGAAGATCAAGATTTAATAAGCTGTAATAAATATCAGTTAACACTCAGTGTGAGACTGTGCACACACTTATCTTCCTCCCTCAAATCCCATTTATATGATGGTAAAGAAACGCAAAAAAGAAAAACCATTACAGTACTGAGAATAAGAGAACAAAGACCTGACTACTTTCTTTAAGACAATGAGTGGATGGGACAGTATTTTACTGACAAAACAGCAGCAGATCACAACACTCAGAGAAGAAGGATGCAGGATAGGCAGAATCCATTCCTCCCTTGGAATCCCAAAGCAAACCATAAAAGGCAGAGGAAATCCCCATTAGCTATGATACCTTCATTCACAAATATGTACAGATAATAAAAGATCATCAAACATTCTGAAAAGCAAAAATACAAAATGGATGGGAAAAAAAAACAAGATGGGAAGAAAAAAATGGACAAAGATGACAGATAATTTTTTGAAATTCTAATTCGTTTTCTCAGACAAACTCAAGAAGAAAATTGCATTTCTTTAATTTTTTTTTTTTTTTTTTTGGTATGAAGTTTCACTCTTATTGCCCAGGATGATCTCAGCTCACTGCAACCTCTGCCTCCCAGGTTCAAGCGATTCTCCTGCCTCAGCCTCCCGAATAGCTGGGATTACAGGCATGCACCACAACACCCGGCTAATTTTGTATTTTTAGTAAAGACAGGGTTTCTCCATGTTGGTCAGGCTGGTCTCGAACTCCTGACCTCAGATGGTCTGCCCTCCTCAGCCTCCCAAAGTGCTGGGATTACAGGCATTTCTAAAACAATAGACTGCTCTGGGGAGAAGCAATCAGAGAATTATGAAATAATCACTGGGAACTAAAATTGTGATTAACAAAATTAAAACAACTTAGGAGAAAGCCTTGGAGTAGGGGGGAAAAGGCAAAAATAGGAAAAATGAAAAAAATGTTAAGAACCAGAGAAGATCAATCTATGACTTTTATTATCTGATCAACGAGAGTTCCAGAAAGACACAAAGGAAAAGAAATAATCAAAGGAGATACACTTGGCTCATGCCTGTAATCCCAGCACTTTGGAAGGCCAAGGCGGGTAGATCACGTGAGGTCAGGAGTTTGAGACCAGCCTGACCAACATGGTGAAACCCCATCTCTAGTAAAAATACAAAATTAGCCAGGCACAGTGGTACATGCTTATAGTCCCAGCTACTTGAGAGGCTGAGGCAAAAGAACCACCTGAACCCAGGAGGCAGATGTTGAGCCGAGATCACGCCACTGCACTCCAACCTGGGCAACAAGAGTGAAACTCCATCTCAAAAAAAAAAAAAGAAGAAGAAGATAAATACTAGTCTCCATACTGAATGGGGGCCAAGGGGCCATGGGGGCTGAGCAGAACAAGGAAAATAATTTTAAATTTGAAATTCAAACTATCAATCAAGTATAAGGGTAAAACATTTCCTAATGTATATTTAAAAGTTTACCACCCCCATAGATACGTCCTCAAAAAAAATTATCTGAAGATACACTCTAAAAAGATGAAGGGAAAAGAATGCAGGAAAGACAAAGATGCTAGACTCAAAAAGCAGCCCTAACTCAGAAGTGGAGTGAGGAGGAACCCCAGGGCAATGGCTGTGCAATGGGCCAGGGGCAATCAGACCACAAAAAGCAAGAGGCTGGAGTGTTTTCAAAAAGAGAGTGGATTTATTTTAACAGACAATGAAAAAGAATCAATTGATAAGATAAACGCATATTCTTGATTTGTCAAAAACAGAAAAATAAAGGCAATCAGAAGCTCCTGGAGAAATACAGAACTAAATTAGACATATACTCCAAATGAGAAGAACAAAGCAAAATAGAGAATGGTTTTGAGCAATATGGGGGGAAAAAGAAAAGCTTTGGTACTGACACTTGGAACATTACCTTCCGAGCTACACATATCTAGTGACATAAAGTTATAAGTCTTTTCTTACATATTTAATCATACAACTTGGTTCTATGATGAATACCATCTGTAGAACAAAAATACAAAGAATAATTCAGTGCTTTACATATTTTTGTAAATACTGTTTACTGTAAATACTATTTCCTGAAATCTCATGTTTGGAAATCGGTCACAAATACTGCTCAGTAGACTCATAGTTACAGAACAAAGTTTAAATATTACAAAACTTGACAACATAACAATATAGATGTCAGAAACTGACAAAGGGAGTAGAAAACATAGTGAGTAAAAGGGCACTAATTTCCTCATCTTAGTTATGGACTCAAGATATGACATAAAGCTGAATTTCTTTACCATATAAATTACTTCTCTGACAAATTTCTGAATTATAAAAAGGTGCAGTGCCAATAAGAATAAATATGCTTTTCTAAATGAAAAACATAATTTAACACCTTTATTGAGCATTCACTATGGCAAAACACTACACAGTACACTGATGTTTCCAGCAATGATCCATTGGTTAGTCATGAAATCAACAGTGGGCTACAATCAGAATTTTTAAATGAAATAGAATAGAAAATATTAAAGTTCAAGTTGGGCGCAGTAGCTCACACCTGTAATCCCAGCACTTTGGGAGGCCAAGGCAGGCAGATCACTAAATCAGGAGTTTGAGACCAGGTTGGCCAACATATCGAAACTCCATCTCCACTAGAGACCAAAAAAAAAAATTAGCTGGGCGTGGTGGGGGACGTCTGTAATCCCAGCTACTGGGGAGGCTGAGGCAGGAGAATCGCTTGAACCCGAGGGGGGTGCAATTCTTTCTTCATGTCTGTTTCCTCTCCTAGGCTCTCTGCTCCTTTAGAGCAACAATCCTATCTTTTTCATCTCCGCAACCCAGTGCATGGCCAAGTGTGCACTACATAGGTGTTCAACATATGTGAATGAATTAGCTAAATTTTAAACAACTACATAGTAAGGACAAGAGTCTATATCTTTTATGTCTACTAAAACACCTAGCAGTGCTTCCTCATAATAGTTAAAATATTTCTGTTTGAAAGACCAAATTAGATTCCCTCATGCACACCTACATACATGAAGAGATGGGTGAAATGAGCATATTTGCTTTACTGCTTTAACCCATGGGTACCTTGAATTTAAGTAAATAATGGATAATGGAACAGTGAAGGGTAATTAAGAACGCCTGATGGTAAAACTAATTCCAAGGAACATCAAGTCTCCAAATATCCACCAGTATCTCTGAGACATGATGTTGGGAAGACAGATCACCAGTCTGACTTACAAAAGAACTACAAATATGTACTTATTCAGGGGACATTAAGTTTTTCTTCCCCTTGTGTCTAACAAAAATGAGTCCCCCAAAACTCTTTAGAACATGCCTTCACGACAGGATATGACTGCCGTTTTATTGACCAAAAAAAAAAAAAAAACCTGCCATTACATAGAAAGACTGAAAATACATAGCAGTGGAGTCGGTGAAAGTCATAAAACCAAGGTCTGCTAACCAACAAACAGGGACCCTCAGTTACTCCTCAAATTTCTGTCTTCTGCTTCCTACGTTCTTGGGAAGCCTGGGTATGACAGACACGTCTTCCTTTCATTCACTCAAGAAAAAGCATTTAATGCTGAGGCCCTGGAGCTCAGGAGACACAGACTTAGCCCTCCGTATACTTAACGGAGTGCAGTCAATATCTGAGTTCCACCCTTTGGCATCTCCACACCTTTTTGAGTGCTCCCTCGTTTGAAGCACCTGCATCTTTCTCTGGTCATTTACTGATATAACTGGAGTCTTATTCGTAGCTCTTTATCTTTAGGACTCACCTGGCGCTCAGGTGTTCACCCATCTCCTCTACCACAAACTTCTGTTCTCACCCTGCTCTCACCACAGTGCCGTCATCCCCACTGAGGAGTTTTCAGGCAGCACAGATGCCACTCATGCAAACGAACTCTCCTCCCAGAGAGAAATCTGTCAACCACCGCCGCCCTGTCCCTCTTCAGCCCCACAACTCTCATCTCCGGCCCCTCTCCCCGCCATAGTTCCCGAGAGCATCTGGACCAGAACGAGGGCACGTGCGCGCGCCAGGGGTGGAACGTGGGCGCGCCTGGAGGGGGACGTGCGCGTGCCGGGGCGCCTAGCCCAGCGCCTGCGCGGAATCCGCATGGATCCGCAAGCGCCGGCCGCCAGGCCTTCAGGGGTTCTGACCGCCTCGGCTTCCGCTGCAGGCGGTCTCGCACCTTCTGGGTAAGTACGCGGGACTGGCGTAGCCGCTCCTCGGCGCTCATCGCCCGCAGACGCTGCTTCAGCTCGTTCCGCAGGCTCCGCTTGGCGCCGCTCACAGCTGCCGCCGCCATCTCACGCCCAAGCCGAGTCCGATCCCGCCCTCGGCACCCTCGAGTTCGGTCCCCGCCCCTGGCCGCTCCCAGGTGGATACGCGGCCTAGGGGAGGGTCTGGTCTCTGGGCAGCGCCCCCCAGCCCGCTTCCGGGTCGCGGGCCGACTGCGGGTCGCGGGCCGACTGCGGGTCGCGGGCCTACCTCGCCTCCGGCCCTTAGGACCCAGCCCTCGTACGGCCCCCGTGGTCCGGCCCGACCTCCCCGGCTAGCGGGATTCGTGGTGGCGCGCCGTGGCTGCCCTGCCGCCTGACCTGGGCCCGGGCCCTCAGCGGGACCGCGGAGGTGGCAGCGCCGCCGGCGGGGATGGTGAAAGCATCTGGCAGTATCCCCGGTGCCTGGAATCTCTTGTACTGTGCAGTACTGGGGCCTCGGGCCAGAAAAGAAGGACAAGGCAGGGCAAGGCAGTACGAGCAGCGACATTATCACGATTTCCTTCTTGTGCACACATTAGTTACACAAAGCTACTACACACCTGTGCTACACACCTGATACAGTGTATTTTCTACTGAATACTGTAGGCAGTTGTAGCATCATGATATGTGTGTATCTAAACACAGAAAAGGTAATGTGTTGGTTGGCTACCACATCAGTAGGTATTAGGAATTTTTCAGCTCCATTATCATCTTAGGGGACCACAGTGGTTGATGGAAATGTCTCCTTATGTGATGAATGTATAGTAACAGAAACACATATGACCTACATCTGTAATTGTAATTTTTGGTAGCCACATTTTAAAAAGAAAAGCAGGAAAAATTAATTTTTAAGATATATTTAGACATAATTATTTCAATATGTAAATCAATATCAAATCACTAATGAGATTCTTTTCCATAACCTTCAAAATCCAATTAGTATTTAGCACTTATAGCTCATCTTAATTCAGACTAGCCACGTTTCACTGCCATAGTGGACAGCAAGCACAGCTCTAGATAGAAAGCCTATTTTGTCTTCTCGTTCTTAATCGTCCAACATTGATTTCAATGTACTTATATTTGTAATATGAATTCTATTATATTGTAAAGTGCATTGTATTGAAAATCATGAGAACAGTAAATCCAAATTAAAGCAATACCTTTGAAGCTATAAAAAGGTTGATGGTTTCTTTTATAATCTATTCTCTTTTTAAACACAGTTTTAAAAATACAGGATAACCCAATTAACTGGACATTTAATTTATAATCTATAATCATAGAATTCTCACTGAAAAGTACCTCTGAGATCATTTTGCCTAATGCCCTTTTAACAAATGAGGAAACTGAGGCACACACACAAAAAAATCAGTTACCTAAGATTAGTCAACCCCTTGGTGCTTGGACCTGGACTAGAATGCAAACACCCTACTTCTTTCCACTCCATACATTTCAAAACAAGTGCCAAAATACTCGAAAACTGTTAAAACATACTTTTTTCAAATGTTCATCTAGCAAGTATTTGCATCTGCATATTACAAGGTTCCAGAACCTGGGGTTACATGCCTTCGAGTAGCTCAGAGCCTAGTGTGACTAATACTGAAACATAAACCATTAATCAAACATAACTCTTTGGTAGTTGACAGAGACTTAAGAGCAATGTAGTGCCTTGGAATCATTTTATGGGCATCACTGGCAGAGCAGATGATACCACCAGCCAGGGGGATTTTCTTTGAAAGATAGCCTAAGAAATCCATTTTCTGCGTCCACATTAAGTGTGGGTTGTGCTCTGAGACAGCTGTCATGACTTGACAGAGGAAGGAAACTGTCCCTCTCTTCTTCCTCTTTTTCTCCTGCCAGTACATACTCATAGATTACACTCTAGGGAGGTATCCACTTCATTGTGCTCCTCCCGAAAGCCCATGTTTTGCAAGTAAAATGAGGCCCTCTGAAATGATTTTTATTATTATGACAATAATCATTGTCTATTATCATTGAGCAGTTAACATGTCATTCTATACACATCAATGTCTAATGAAGACAGTGAACAAAGAAAATATTGATGAATTCCACCAGATGAAGATTTTTTTTTTTTGAGATGCAGTCTCCCTCTGTCACCTAGCCTGGAGTGAGTGCAGTAGTATGATCTCAGCCCACTGCAACCTCCACCTCCTGGATTCAAGAGATTCTCCTCCCTCAGCCTCCCAAGTAGCTGGGACTACAGGTACGTGCCACCACACCCGGCTAATTTTTTGTACTTTTAGTAGAGACGGGGTTTCACGGTGTTAGCCAGGATGGTCTCGACCTCCTGACCTTGTGATCCACCTGCCTCTGCTTCCCAAAAGTACTGGGATTACAGGTGTGAGCCACTGTGCCTGGCCAAAAATTTTTTTTAACTATGAAAAACTAAAAAGAACGATAGTAAAATATTTACATATAGCATGGTTATATGTGTATTACATATATATTACATGTATATTACATGGTATATTACATATATGGCAGAAGTCTTTACAGGCCACACCCACTGACAATAAAGCATAAAAAACTGGTCAAGAACAGCAATAGCAAAAAAGATAATATGAACATATCTTTAAAATTAAAAATATACTTTAAATAAATATATCTCAAATATACATATTTTTCCACCTAGACATTTTAAATTTGGAATCAGGAGAACGAATCAATATTTCTTCAACCACACCCTGTGTAGAGCTGAAGGAGAGAACACACATAAGAACACCCACTTCTGTCAAAGCATCCCTTTCTCCCTGGAGCCTTTACAATTCTCCCAGCGCCACGGCAGAGGAGCCCTGCATGAGGCGTGAACACCTTCAGCATCGCAGAGGGACCCTCAGCACTGGCAATAGCACAGCAGTGTCAGAAAGCATGAGGCCACGGACCCAGGCCAGCCTCAACTGTCTCCCTGAAATCCACCCAACCACCACTTTGCTGCTTCATCAGCTGTCGCCACTTAACCTCAAAGTTGTGATATTTTGGAACCACAGGCTTGTTAAGTTGTTAAGAGTTGTTAAACTTGTTGAGAAACGTTGGAGAAGAAAAACTTCACGCTGATTCAAAAGCACGCCACTCATTATGCTGCAAAAAGAAATGAGGGAACATCCTGTTGTGATCAGCGTTGTATCTTGATCCGCTCTGTTAGCTGTCTCCAGAAGGAGCTGCGCAGTCGTGACAGCCGCGAGGCATACTCCACACACACACCTGGGCTTGCTCCCAGGGAAAACCTGCTCCACACGCCTCCCCCACTGCCGAGTGCCACGCACACCCTGGGAACCCACCACTATAGTATTGTTCTACACACTACAGACACAATTGCAAAATAAAAACCTCAGCTGTCTGGGTGCGATGGCTCATGCCTGCAATCTCAGTATTTTCAGGCTAAGGCAGGTGGATCACTTGAGCTCAGTTCAAGACCAGCCAGGCCACACAGTGAAAGTCTGTCTCTACTAAAAATACAAAAATTAGCCGGGTGTGATGACATACGCCTATAGTCCCAGCTACTCAGGAGGCTGAATCTGGAGGATTTCTTGAACCAGAGAGATTAAGGCTGCAGTGAGCTGAGACTACACCACTGTATTCCAGTCTGGGCAACAGAGCAAGATTCTGTCTCAAAAAATATATGTAAAAATAAAAATTTCTGCAATCATTTAGTAATCGTAAAATGTGTATTATTGACGGCTGTATATTTAGGGTCATGTATATTCAATGTTGTATACATTAAAAACCCAACTTCTACTGGCAACACTAACCATTACCTCTTACTTAAAAAAAAAAAAAAAAAAAAATTTTTTTCTTGCAATGGGGTCTTGCTTTGTTACCTAGGCCGGAATGCGGTGGCAGGATCTTGGCTTACTGCAGCCTTACTCTGCTTACCAGGGTTCAAGCTATCCTTCCACTTCAGCCTCTTGAGTAGTTGGGGCTGCATGTAAAGGCCACCACCCCTGGCTTTTTTTTTTTTTTTTTTTTTTTTTTTTTTCTGGTAGAGACGGGGGTTTTTGACTGTGTTGCTTATGCTGGTCTCAAACTCCTGGGCTCAAGCAATGTGCCCACTTCAGTTACCCAAAGTGCTGCTATCACAGGCGTGAGCCACCATGCCTGGCCAGCAATTTTTTTTAAATAGTAGGTATACGTATAAAGTATCGAGACCAGAGGTTTTATTGTTGTTTTGGACTTTCTCATTCATAAATCCTCTGGCCTCACATATCCAATGGGTGTTGTCAGTGAGAAGTGGTCACTGTGGGGACCATGTACATATTCCAACCATGCTGCCATGATTCACGTTTTCTTCTTTTGGAATTATCTTCAGGGTCCCTAGCATGCCCATCATTCCCTCACTAGATGCATTGTCAGTGCCTGAAAGGTACTGCTAGGCATGAAGCAAATGCTCAGTAACAACCTGGACAGCAGCAAACCTCTGTCCTCCAAGGACAAGCTCCATCTGGGGCCAAACACCCTTGGAGACACAGAGTTTGCAAGAAGGGGGCCAGGTGAGGGACGCCTTGGGGCTAGGTGAGACCAGTAGCTACAGACATATTTGGGGTCTGCTGGATCAAACTGTAGCAGGAGCGACCTCGAGAAACAGAGCTCCCCAACACCGAATAGGGAAGGAAGAGGTCTTTATTATAGCCAGGAGCTGAGGAACAATTTGTCCAAATTCAGCTCGTCCCACAAAGGAAGGTTCTGCCTTTATATAGGCTTATACTTTAGATATTACACGTGGAAGAATCTCAGGTTTATAGCTTTATAAATCACATATGAAAAGGGTCTCGGTTTATAGCTTCAAGAATCACATATGAAAAGGTTTCAGTTCCTAGTTTTGGGACTCACATGTGAAAAGGTTTTGGTTTACAGTTTCAGGAATCACATATGAAAGGGTTCCAGTTTACAGTTTTAGGACTCACATGTGAAAAGGTTTCTGTTTACAGTTTCAGGAATCACATATGAAAGAGTTCCGGTTTATAGTTTTAGGACTCACATGTGAAAAGGTTTCTGGTTTGATCTTGTTTTAAGTAAAAATAGTGCCTTCCAGAGAGTTTCCCCAAGACTCAGCCTGCCACCTACAAGAAGGTGAAACAGGAGGTACCAGTCGGTCAGCCTTTTCTTCTACTGAAATGCAGTGTGATAGTCAAAGAGGAAGCTGATCTGAGATGCCTGGGTCTCCCTCTTCACCAGGAGCCTGCCACCTTGGGTGTTGGGGGCACTGACTCTGAACAGGCCCTCTTCCCAGGCCTGCTTGGAAGCTGGAGTCTGCTTCCCCAGCTAACTCTATAATAGCTCTTGGGAACAATGCCCCAAACCAGGCGCCCACTAGGTCCCGCAGCAAACTGTACAAATTAAGTTTGTGTGTGCTTTCATGTACACAGGAGGGGCAAGAAACAGCCTCCACATGTTACACAGGATAACGAAGTCCTAAGGGTGGTATATACAGAAAGAGAAGTCTCAGTTGCCTGAAAGCAAGTGAGGGGAAAGATTTGAAACTGCTCCAAGCAAAAGCAAGAGTTTCCTTTTCCAAGGAAGCTCCACAGAAGATTAATGATTATTTGATGGTAAGTGCTATTACACTTGGGGGTGGAAAAAAAAGGTGTGCAGCTGTTCTGCCATCACACCAAATCAGCTCACGGAGGCCAGGCCTCTAGGGTGACATAAGTGGTCTCTCATGCCAATCACCAGAAACCCTGCCCTGCTCTTACTTTCAGCCTTTCCAGTTCCAGCTGGTCCCTGCCAATAGGCACAGCCGATGGGGAGCCGGGTGCTGTGGTGGGAGGAGGTCCGCTGCCATCACCCTTGCTGAGCTTGATGATGACCCCGTCCTTGGCTTGGACAGTCTCCATCAGTATCCCTAGCTGCTCATTGAGCTAGCCCACCTTGCTCTTCAGCATCCTCACTTCCTGCTGAAGACTCTCCTTCTCCAGGTTGAGACTCTCCAGCTGGCTGGTGAGGCCCAGAATCTGATTATCTTTTTGGTGCAGAAGCTCAAGCATGTCCTTTGGGACCCCCTCGCAGAGCCGGCTGCTAGTGAAATACTTGTCATACTGGGATGACTGGACTGTCTGCTGGAGCAGCCGAACAAGCTCCTGGGAGCCGAAAGGAGAATGGAGTTAAGGTGAGGAGAGCAAAGAGAGGAGGAAAAGCACAAATCGTGACATGGAGCAATTGTCAGAATTTGAGGAAATGTAGAAACTTTACTGGAAACATTTTAATACTGAACGTCCTCTTGAAGGATCTCAAAAATAGAGAAAAAAAAAATTTACTCCATAAACACTGTCTGTAGAGAACAATAGGAAACAGGAAATAATGGACTTACACACTGTAATTAGTTAGCAGTGGTGTCCAGTAAATGTTCATGGGTATTTAAAAATCCGTGTTCTAAGAGTCACTGAACTGCTGAACAGTTAAGTGTAATTAGAGCTGATTAGCTCAGGAAACTGTTATTGAATAGAATGCAGAAAGTCTTTTTAAGGACTGTTAAAGAACTCTGGGCTGAAACTGTGTTTAGGGAGATCCAATCTCAGGGACAGGACTGGCCTTGGGTACACACAGCAATATCCTGAGTCCTCCTGTGAGAGATCTTCACTCTCCTTGCAAATGCAAACACCTCTGAACCAATGATCACGCACAGCAGCCACACCTAGGATGATGGCCATGGCAATATGAAACGTCCAAGGAAAAGCAGCTTTTGGGAAATGCTGTCCCTGAAAAGATTCGGAAAAACATAAATCGGGCTTTACTCCTCCCGCCCTTGGCCTGCTAATGTCGGGTAAGACAGAAGCCAGAAGTTACCTTCTGACTGGACAGCTGGAACTAACTGTTCCAGCTCTTCCTGCCGGCTCTGGACCCGCAGTGGCATTTCAGAGGCCGGCTTCCCGACGCTGACACTGCCACTGCCTGACATACCTATCACTTGAAGGGTCACCACTGCTGTGATGATTTTTGTACGACCCAACTGTCTTTCAAAGGGCGCTTTCCTTTGTAGGGGTTACATCCAAAATCAAAGGGGACTCCCGAGCCAGTTACTCCTACATAAAAATAAAACTTGTGTTTTAAACACAAGCCACATCTTCCTTTTACAAATAAAGCACCCTAGCTGGGTGCAGTGGCTCACGCCTGTAATCCCAGCACTTTGGGGGGCCGAGGTGGGTCGATCACGAGGTCAGGAGTTCAAGACCAGCCTTGCCAACACAGTGAAACCCCATCTCTACTAAAATAAAATAAAATATTAGCCAGGAATCTTGGTGTGCGCCTGTAGTCCCAGCTACCTGGGTGGCTGAAGCAGACGAATCACTTGAACTCAGGAGGTGGAAGTTGCAGTGAGCCGAGATTTCGCCACTGCACTCCAGCCTGGCAACAGGGTGAAACTCTGTCTCAAAACAACAACATAAAAATTAAACAATCGTCCTCTCAGAGAATTTTCTCTCTGCAGTATTCCTATAGGTTCTAAAATTAGTTTGAATTATTAGAAAATTAAAATATTTTAACTGCTTTGTGAAAATATGAATGACAAAAATCTAAATATATGTAAGTAGACATAATCCACATTTATATATTTACAAACATATAAAATATGTATATTAAATGTGTTTAACCTCAACAACATTGAAGTGCTAAAGTTAAACAATATTTTTATGTTATACGCCAGAGTAGAAGGAAAAATGGTATAATATATTCTGCTTATAGAACTAAAGTTATTATTTAAGGAGACCAGACCAGACATTCACTTCCTTTTTCCTTTTGAATTATATAGGAAGATAAACTGGGCCCAGTGGCTCACACCTGTAATCCCAGCACTTTGGGAGGCCGAGGTGGGTGGGTCACCTGAGGTCAGGAGTTCAAGACCAACCTGGCCAACATGGAAAAACCCCTTCTCTACTAAAAATACAAAAATTAACTGGGCATGGTAGCACTCACCTGTAATCCCAGGTACTCTGGAGGCTGAGGCAGGAGAATCCCTCAAACTCGGAAAAAGAAAGGAAGAATGAGTATGTGAGGATTCCTGAAGAATATAGTATACTATATTCTGAGACAGAATGACTTATCCCAATTTCAGTTTACACAAATGCTCTCAGAAAGTGTAGAACATCTATAACATCTAGATATGAAGCCAGGATCAAAGCAAGAAGCGAGAATCATCTGGTCAAAACAAACTTCTGGCATAGTATTTAGGAAGACTTTAACCAAATTTGTAAAAGCTTAACCAAACTCATGCTCAGGAACCAAAGCAGCCAAAGACTTAATCGGCTTCTCCAAGTGGACTTAATGTGTTCTAATAATACTTAATCTAAAATGGGCTGCTGAGTGCAGCTCATTCTCATTATGAGCATCACTGTCATCATCACCTGCAAGAGCCACATAACAATATGCAGATGATTCTGGGTTCTTTTAAAGCGCATACATACTTAGGATTCCTTTGGGAGGATGCAATTTCACATTTCTATGAAAAACTTTCACTACCACAGTCAGCTCTAATATTTGATAACACTTGGTAATAAAATAAAGGCTTGTTATCATATACTGTAGCGTGCTTCTGTTATTCAAATCTTCCTAACTGGGAGTTACAAATACCTCTGACTCTGCGCTTGGGCCCTTCCCACTCTTGCCTACCTTCCAGACTCCAAAGCCACCTCCTCCTCAAAGTTGGGCCCAATTACTTTGGACTAGTATTTTCTTCCCAGTTACTGAGCACTGTCAGTACTTTTTGTTCTATCACTCTTTCGGCAATTCACTGTGCACTTTCTAGTTTATTGAACTGCATAGAACTTAGCTCTCAACAAGACTAAAACTGCCTTATGAACAGAGATCAAGACTTAAGAATCTTCAGAGTCTCCTATAACATGTGAGAGCTCACTAAATGTTTCCTGATTCAAATAACTAGGCTTAAGAGTAATAGCAGCTAGGTTTATAGAGTTTACTACATGCCATATCCAGTGCTAAATGTATACATGGATTTTACTAAATTTTCCTAACTCTATAGACGTAAGTGCTATTTTCTCCATCATTGAGGAAAAAAGTGAAGCTCAGAGTATTGCTCAAGGTCATACAGCTAGTACGTGGCAAAACCAGGGCCTGAATCCAGCAAACTTCTTAACTACCTCCGAACACTGCACAGTTGTGGCCGTGCAATACCAGAGTCTATGAATGATTTCGATTTCACCGTTAGAAGCTTGAATTTCAACAGGGCAGAGACATTTTAGCTAAAAGGCAAAACTTTAAAAAGGATGAATTAACAGAATTTCCCAGACACCTTTATAATAAAACGAGGGGAAAAGCTCCCATGTACTATTTATGAAAGTCATATTAAGTGTGGGTCACGGTTCCATCAAGAAGTGGCTTATGACAATAGAGCTTTGGTTTAGATTTTTAAATAGGACTCTTTTTCTCTGCCCCTAGGAGGACGTGGAAATGAAGGATGGCTATAACTGTCTAAATCAGAGCTCTTCAAAATGCCAGACTCACTTCTTGTTTTAAAAAATCAGAGCCAGGGCTCTTGTTCCACCCTTGACTCTTCACACAAAGCAGCACCATCCTCTGCTTTCTTCACACGTGGCAAGCTTTACCCCACGTGGTGCTAATCCACACGGTCTCCCCATCTCCGCTAGAAATTGATCCCAAACACCAATACCTTATCAAGCCGACCCCTCCCCGACATCCAAAATGCCCAGGCCACCATCCGAAAGCCGGTCTCTTATACAAAGCGGTTTCCCACCTCCGACTCCTCCCCGCGGCGCACAATCCAACTAACCCATAGACCCCAGTAGTGCCCACCACCCAGAGGGTCCACAATCTAGAGAAGCAGCTACAAGCCCTGGTACTCTCATGCCTCGAACCAACCCCCAACTCCAGCTGACCCTCCCTCTGCAATACCAGATCAAGAACACCACGAGTACCCGCCGGAGAGCGGACCTGGCCGCACAAAGCCAGGCGCCAGACCAGAGGGGCCCTCGGGGACGCCCTCCGCCCCAGGGCCGTCCCCGCCCAGCCCCGCGCTGTCCTGCGCTCTTCCCGCTCCTCCCAGGGTGGCAGGCGCTCCAGCTCTTCCAGCAAGCTGCCCTCGCAGCTCCGCGCTACTCGTCCGCCTCGGGTCCATCCCGAGAGGCCGCTCGAGTTGGCGCTGAAGCCCCAGGGGAAGCCTCGAGGGGACCCCGCACCGTAGGAGGGAGGGCAGGAGCCTGCGAACCGCGCTGCGGGGCGGAGGGAGCCGGGGCCCCGCACAGCCCGAGCGCTCTCCAGCGGTTCGTGTTGCTTCCCCGGCTTCTTCAGCGGCTCCTGCAGCTTCCGCACCTCCGGGGCCGCGTTCACTTGGGAGTTAGCGTCCTCCATCCCGGCCCCGCTGTCTCCGCCGCTCACACCAGCCGAAGCGCCCGCGTACGGCAGGGCCAGGCCCGCCGCCAGGGTCCCCCCATCCCGGGTTCCGTAGCGCCGCTGGCCCCAGAAAAGTCGGCTCAACCGCGCGGGTCCGGGGTTGGGGGAGGCGGCGCCAAAATCCGGCCCCTGCCGCCATCTTCCCTCCGTCCCGCCACCTCCCGCGGGGCGGCCCCGTTGGTGGCCTCAGAGTCGAGGGTGGGTGTGGCGGCCGGCGGGCGCCGAGACAAACCAGCAGCGAGCTCCCGACGAGGCGGGGCCAGCTGTGTGAGGGGGCGGGGCCTAGGCCGGAAGGGGCGTATGTGCACTGCCGGCGGAAGTGAGACGCCGCCGGGCCTGCGACGGAAAGCCGCTGAGGGCCGGGAGGTGAGCGGCAGGTGAGCGGCAGGTGAGCGGCAGGTGAGCGGCAGGTGAGCGGCAGGTGAGCGGCAGGTGAGCGGCGAGCTGGGCCGAGGTGGCGGACGCGGTCCCAGTTCACCCCGCCGGTTGGTCTCGATGTGTGAGGTGTTCTCCACCCACTTACACGGCGAGTGGGACCCACGGATCGGTCCCGCCTGGCTCCGGGCCAGATCTCGAGTGGGCGCTCGACAGGGTCCGGGGAGAGACAGTTTACTTTGCTGAGCAAATATTTATTCGATGGCTGCTTTTAATTGGAGATCGTCTCCGCTGGCGGCAGCCTCAGAGACCGCCTGTGTCCTGTTTCTTCCTCTGAAAGTAAAATACCCGAATTTCGGACGAGAGGTCTAAGGTCAAAATAACCATAATTTCGTGAGTGCTCTCTACTGGCCAGACACTAGCCTAAGCGGGTGGTGGTTGTTGTTGTTTTGTTGTTGGCGGAGAGAGTCCCCTCTCAGGCTGGAGTGCAGGGCGCCATTTTGGCTCCTGCAACCTCCGCCCCGCGGTTTAAAGCGATTCTCCGGCCTCACGCTCCCAAGTAGCTGGGATTACAGACGGGCGCCACCAGGCCCAGCTAATTTTTGTATTTTTGCACAGTCGTGTCAGTGGATTCTTGTGGGTAGACGTAAGGCTGATTCGTGTGAGACAAAATTTAAAAACTAGAGGATGACAGAACGAGCATCTGGACTAAAATAAGGCGAGTGATAACAGGTACCATTTTTGAGTTCACTCAGTGCCAGGTGCCATGTTGTTTCTTACGTACTCTCTATGTTCCTCAAAACAAACCACAAAGTACGTATTATTACAGTATTTTTATAGAAGAGGAAACAGGTTTGGAAATCCTAAGTGTCTTGCCCTCGCTCACGTAGGTACTACGTAAAGGTCATCAGATTCTAACCCACATCTCCACAACTGTCACTAAATCGCACCTCCTCCTCCGTCCCAGCACTACTTCATTAGCTCCGTAGCTCTGTTTTTGTTCTTCCTGTGCAGTATGAGACGCGCCCATGTTCTGTAGTCACGTGTATCTTCACTGCTCAGTACCAGGCCTGGTGTGGAAGGGATGCTCAGCAGATAGTTGCTGAGTCAGCGAGGGAAGGCTGTGTCATGCGAGGACAACGTGGAAAGAGCAACTTATTAAGCTAATAAAATCCCCAGCTGCTATTGGAAGTCCAGGTCAAGAGAAGAAACCCGGCCGGGTGCAGTGGCCCAAGCCCATAATCCCAGCACTTTGGGAGGCCACAGCGGGTGAATCTTCTGAGGTCAGAAGTTCAAGACTAGCCTGACCAACATAGTGAAACTCTGTCTCTACTAAAAACACAAAAAATTAGCCAGCCGTGGTGTCAGACGCCTGTAACCCCAGCTACTCAGGAGGCTGAGGCAGGAGAATCACTTGAACCCAGGAGGCGAAGGTTGCCGTAAACGGAGATGACGCCATTGCACTCCAGCCTGGGCAACAAGAGCAACACTCCGTCTCAAAAAAGAAAAGAAACCCCATTGTACTCTTTGCTGATGGAGCTATAGTTGAAATGCTGCACCACATTTTAAGGGTGGCATGGCACCCCTTTTCAGAAGGGGTGACTCCCTCAGCTCGAGGTGGTAGGCAGCCATTATAGAAATTTAAAAGAAAAGCCGTAGTGTCACCAGGGAAAACCCAATAACCCTGCCATGCGGTCTCACTGGTTGTGTTTACTTTCAGCTCAACATACTGCATATAAGTTGAGTAAGTTGAGCAAGTGGAGGGAGGAAATAGCAGAGATGGATAGGCAAGAGCTCCTGTCATTGAAGATAAAACAAGCGACTGGGTGTGTGGTGGCTCACACCTATAATCCCAACACTTTGGGAGGCTGAGGCAGGTGGATCACGAGGTCAGGAGTTCAAGACCAGCCTGGCCAAGATGCTGAAACCCCGTCTCTACTAAAAATACAAAAATTAGCTGGGCTTGATGGTGGGCCCCTGTAATCCCAGCTACTCGGGAGGCAGAGGCAGGGAATTGCTTGAACCCGGGAGGCAGAGGTTGCAGTGAGCCAAGATCATGCCACTGCACTCCAGCCTGGCCAACAGAATGAGACTCCTTCTCAAAACAAAGCACTGAATTTATGTATATCAATGGTCTCGTCCTTACATTCATTTATAGACCCAAAACTTAATTTTGGCCAGCATGCCAAAATGTGACCCATTTACCAATGTTTGCTATTTCCTTGTGATCCATGAACCAACAGCATCAGCATCACTTGGGAGCTTATTACACCCATAAGATATCAGGCCCTCCCCAGACCTGCTGAGTCTGAGTCAGTATTTTAACATGATCCCTGGGGGATTCATATCTATAGTAAAGTTTAGGAAGTACTACTATTAATCAATGTATAAACCAAGTGCTGATTTGCAGGAAGAAATAGAATTATCCTGCAAAGGATAATATAGCCATCCTGTACACAGTATTCTCCCCATTCAGATAGATTTAAGAGGTTGCTAGTGATCCTTACTTCCCTCCTGCCACCATCACTCCCACCCCCATTCCAAGGAAATGACTTTTCAGCTGAAATCACAAGGCTTAAGTAAGCATTCATTAGGTGGCCGGGCGCGGTGGCTCACGCCTGTAATCCCAGCACTTTGGGAGGCCGAGGCGGGGGGATCACGAGGTCAAAAGATCGAGACCATCCTGGTCAACATGGTGAAACCCCGTCTCTACTAAAACTACAAAAAATTAGCTGAGCATGGTGGCATGTGCCTGTAATCCCAGTTACTCAGGAGGCTGAGGCAGGAGAATTGCCTGAACCCAGGAGGCGGAGGTTGCGGTGAGCCAAGATCGCGCCATTGCACTCCAGCCTGGGTAACAAGAGCGAAACTCTGTCTCAAAAAAAAAAAAAAAGAAAGAAAGCATTCATTAGGTGAGAGAGTGAGTGAGAAGAGAGAAAAACTGGAAAATTTTTCATGAAGAAACAGCTATGTACAAAGGTTCTAAAGGGAACCATGGCATGATATTTTAGAGGAATTGAAAGGAGGCTACAATGGTTAATCAGCCAAGAGTCAGGAGAGAGGTATGAGATGAAGCTGAAGAACCAGGGTCCAGATGGCATGAGCTTGTTTTGTGTTTGTCTGTTTTGGCTGAGACGAAGTCTCGCTCTGTTGCCCATGCTGGAGTACAGTGGCATGATCTTGGCTCACGGCAACCTTTGCCTCCCAGGTTCAGGCAATTCTCCTGCCCCAGCCTCCTAAGTAGCTGGGATTACAGGCACCTGACACCATGCCCAGCTAATTTTTTTTGTATTTTTAGTAGTGATGGGGTTTTACCATGTTGGCCAGGCTGGTCTCAAACTCCTGGCTTCAGGTGATCTGCCTGCCTCAGCCTCCCAAAGTGCTGGGATTACAGGCCACTGCGCCTGGCCAGTGTCTTTTTTTTTTTAATGAAAATTTGGAATAATTTGAAATTCACATAAAAGTTTCAAAGACAATACAAATAGTTCCTACATATCCTTTATCCATTTCCCCCTAATCTCACATTGCCATGGCGCATTTGACAGAACTAAGAAACACTGACATGTTACTATTAACTAGACTCCAAAGTTTTTTCACTGGTTTTTCCAGTGATGTCTATTTTCTGTTCTAGGATCAATCCAGGGTACCACATTGTATCTCTATAGGCTTCTCTTTTTGTTTTTTTCTTTCTTTTGAGTTGGAGTCTCACTCCGTCACCCAGGCTAGAGTGTAGTGGCGCAATCTCAGCTCACTGCAACCTCTGCCTCCCAGGTTCAAGGGATTGTCCTGCCTCATCCTCCCAAGTAGCTGGGATTACAGGCATGTGCCACCATGCCCAGCTAATTTTGTATTGTTAGTAGAAATGGGGGTTTCACCATGTTGGCCAGGCTGATCTCGAACTCCTGACCTCAGGTGATCGATCTGCCTCGACCGCCTAAAGTGCTGGGATTACAGGTGTGAGCCACTGTGCCCAGTCTATAGGCTCCTCTTCAATGTGAAAATTTCCTCATTTTGTTTTTGATGACCTTGACAGTTTTGAGAAATACTGGTTGGGTATTTTGTAGAATGTCCCCAAATTTATGTTTGATGTTTTCCTGGGATTATGGGTTTTGGGGAAACAATACCACAAAGATTAAATGCCTTTTCATCACATGATAACAAGGGGTGCTATCAACACAACTTACCACCTTAACCTTGATCACCTGGCCAAAGTAGTGTTTCCAGGTTTCTCCATTGTAGAGTTCCTTTGTTTACCCTTTCTATATTCTGTAGAAGTGAGTCACCAAATCCAGCTCATGCTCAAGTGGGAAGGTAGGGTTTTATAGAAGAATGTGAGTCCCTAAAAATAGTGGAAAACAATTGAATGATTTTAAGCAGTATCTGACATCAGATTTCCATTTTAAGATTAATATGCTGGCAGTATCAAATGTAGCAAATGGAGCCAGGAGTAGATACAGATACATCAGTAGAAAGGTTTTGGCCCACCATGGTGGCTCACGCCTATGATCCCAGCACTTTAGAAGGCCGAGGTGGGTGGATCACCTGAGGTTGTGAGTTTGAGACCAGCCTGACCAACATGGAGAACCCTGCCTCTACTAAAAATACAAAATTAGTGGGGCGTGGTGGCACATACCTGTAATCCCAGCTACTTGGGAGGCTGAGGCAGGAGAATCGCTTGAATCCAGGAGTTGGAGGTTGCAGTGAGCTGAGATCACACCATTGCACTCCAGCCTGGGCAACAAGAGCGAAACTCTGTCTAAAAAAAAAAAAAAAGTTCTATCAGTGGTTGGGCTGGCATAAAAGTTAAGAATGAGAAAAGTGGGTAGATTAAGAGATATTGAAGAAGTAAGATTGGCAGGATTTGTTCATTTTTAGTTGAATAAAAGGAATGGAGGAAGGCTTGAGGATGACTGCCGGGCACCAAGTTACCGGTTAAGGAGCTGATTGGATATCAACAAGAGTGAAACTGAAAGCACACAGTGAAATGGCAGGCAGAGCAGCCTGAGGACTTGCTGATGGAGGTGACCCCAGCGCATGGAGAAAGAATGCTGTGGGTCAAGTGCCCCTGCAGAATTTCAAAGGCATGATTTTCCATGTATCCATATCTACTCTGAATGACTCTGCGCCCTGGCAGCACCCTTTAAAAATAAAACAGCCTTGTCCAGTTAGGTAAATCATTGAGAGTAACAATGTAGTATTCATACTCTGCATTTCCATCAAGAATTGTACTTTCTTTTTTTTTTTTTTTTTGAGATGGAGTCTTACTCCGTCACCCAGCCTGGAGTGCAATGGTATGATCTCGGCCCACTGCAACTTCTGCTGCCCAGGTTCAAGCAATTCTCCTGCCTCAGCCTCCCGAGTAGCTGGGATTACGGGCGCCTGCCACTGTGCCCGGCTAATTTTTGTATTTTTAGAAGAGATGCGTCTTGGTCAGGCTGGTCTTGAACTTCTGACCTCATGATCCACCTACCTCAGCCTCCCAAAGTACTGAGATTACAGGCATGAGCAACCACGCCTGGCCAAGGATTGTACTTTCAAAGCACCAGCACTCGTACACACAACACTAGGTGTGAAGTTCATGACGGTTCTGAATCCCCAGAGAGCCCTGTGGAACCCAATTTTGTTTAAGCTTCATTGCCATATTCATTCATTGCCAATGAAGTCGTCTTCATTGCAGAGATCAAGATCCTTAAAAAAGACTCAGTAACATCAGACATGGGGAAGAGACAGTGTGGTTGACACTGTAGGGAAGCTTCTTGAGCATGGGAAAGATGAAGTCAAGATGTTCACAAGGAGGTAAATTGTGAAAGGCCTTGG